TCACAGGGGTCAGAGTGGCTGACACTGACCTCAAAAGCAGGTTTTAACTATTCAACATACTGAAAGCTGCTGGGCTATCACACCATTAGACTGGGACAAACTGACAAATCAATTTCACCAAGGAGATGACTTTTTTGGGGGGGCGGGGGGAGGAAAGAGGCAGATCCACCAATCAACAAATCCCTGCATTTCTTACACAGGTGGTTGGACAAAAGCTGAGTGCACCATCAAAGACATTTTATATCTACCAAATGCCTTTGTACAAAAATAACTCCCACAATTTCCTTAGGAACAGCTCTAAATGTTTTAAACCAACATTTTTTGCATATTCAAACTAAGTTATTGAAAAGTTAAAGTTTACTTTTAAATTCCTCCATCTCTTGCTTTGAAAGAAAGGGTATATTTTAATTAAAACCAACCAGAGTAGGCAACAATGTCAATAAATAATCATTAATTTTGAGAAAGACAACACAGCATATAAAAACACATTACTTTTTATTTGAGAGAAATATACAATGCTTACTGTTAAGAGTCATTTTAACCAAATAGTTTTAAAATAAAGAATTATTTTGTCCCTAATTGCAGAAGGAAACTAAAAACAGTTCACTATAGAAAGCTTACAGTAATTTCACGTCCTACTGACAACAGGTTTCTGACTGATTCTTTCTCTTTAGTTAAAGCAAAATGCAGGTAGCCAGGCATTTTATTTTAAAACTGTACCTTTTAAAGGTATACTGAGGCTACAAAAGGCCCCAAAACCTCACGACTTTCAGTTAGAATTTAGTGCAGTGTGGGTCTACTGCACGAAGATAACCTGACAAAATGCACAAGTTACATATTTGGTATTTTAACTGGCTTGACTTTTTAGAACTTGATGCTACGGTTCCCAAAAACCTTTGGAAACTCAAGAACTGCTCATTTGAGTTATAGATTGTACACAACAAACCATTTGAGGAGCTTTCCTTCTTGTTTGTCTGAAGAATTAAGTATTCAACTAGCCACTGAATTAGGATTCCAGAACAGTTAAGGGCTGATGTAAATGTCTTAATTAAATGTCTGCAAAAACTAAAATGTTGCTAAAATTACTGCCAAGCCAGTAAAATAAAGCATGTTTTCCCTCTTTTTTTTCTTTTTTTCTTTTTTTTTTTTAAGAGCCTCACTTCAGTTCTTATATCAAGCTGTTAAAAGATGCATAGATTTATTTGTAAACCAGTTTTAAAATGTTTAGAAAATGTTTATATTTCGTATTTGTTTAGATTAACATTTTTTGCAGTATTGATGCTCTAAGCATTTGAACAAAATAACTGTGAGGAATGAATATTTGCTTTTTCAAGAACTGGCTTTGTGGGGAAAAAAAAAAAAATCACTTAGGAGTTCCATGCACTTTAAAGTACTTGGTAAGAAATGCTGCAAGATTAAAAGCTCAATCAGAAGGGACAGAACCTAATTGCAATTATAGAATTAAAAGATTTTCCTTCCTAATGCTTCTTATCTCTGTAAAGCTTTATCTTTATAAAATTTCATGGACTGAAGAAACTCTCCTCTGTTGCAGAAACTAAGCCCTTCTATAAAGAATATTGACTCAAAAAAAATTAGCCACAACAACGAAGCAATCAATTGAGAATTTTTTTTCTGTTTATGAAAACTACCACCTTTAGTTATAGGATTAAAGAATGGCTGAAAAATTAGATCTCAAACTATTTAAGGTTTCAAAAGATCAGAATACTGGGACAGGTTCAGAATTGGGAAGGGAACATACACAGGGCAGGAAGAGCTGCCAGTAGTCTTACTGGCCTGCCCAACTACACACACCTGGAGCTTTTATGTGACTATCAGCTGTAGGATCCGGAGCTTTTATGTGGCCCTAAAAAGTGGAACTTATCAACTGCACCTCCCACTGTGGGCATTCAGCAACCACTTGTCTCAGTAATCTAGCACCTAGAAATAGAGACAAATTTTGCAAGATAACTGTATCTTCCCCAGAGTACTGTTTCACCTTTTTCCTTATTCCACAGAATTTGGTTTGTAGTTATCTTTGTAAGAAATACGAATCCAAACACAGATACTAGAATTATATAGTCTAAAGAAAATAAAAACAACAACAAAATCAAGGATGAGCATGGGTAATTGTAGATCCAGGATGAGATTCTTTTCACCATTTGAAGACAGGGAAAGATTTTTGTGTAACAGTTACCAGAGTACCTAGGAACTATGCATTCCATTTATGAGGAATGGAAACAGACAGAAATCTATTTCAAATTAAATATCTCTTCATAGAAATGTACTATCAATATTTCACATTAATCCCATCTTCCCAAGAATATTTAAAAGAATTGGGGGACCTTATTAACATTTACAAATATCTAAAAGGCAGGTGTCAAGAGGATGGGGCCAGACTGTTTTCAGTGGTGGCCAATGAAAGGACAAGGGGCAATGGGCAAAAGCTGGAACACATGAGGTTCTACTTAAACATGAGGAAAAACTTCTTTACTGTGAGGATGACAGAGCACTGGGACAGGCTGCCCAGGGAGGGTGTGGAGTCTCCCTCTCTGGAGATACTCAAAACCTGCTTGGATGCAGTCCTGTGCAACCTGCTGTAGGTGAACCTACTTTGGCAGAAGGGTTGGACTAGATGATCTCCAGAGGTGCCTTTCAACCCCCACCATTCTGTGATTCTATGATTATTAATTTTTAAAGGAACAGAAGTTAACAAATTCAAAGCTCCTGTGTTGAACTTGAACTACTTTTAGTACTATTTACTTATTGTAAGATTTATGATCATAAAAGTTAATTTCAGCAACAAACAAAATCAACCCACCCGTTCACCCCCTCTAAACCCCAAACAAAAGCCCTGCAGGAAGCTCTGAGCCCAGAGAAAACAAAGATAGGAGTTAATTTGAGTTGTCAAAGCCACTGTCAGGGAACAGGTTAGATGAGACTGACACTACAGCAGACACACACAGCTTGGAGTGAGGTAAAGGTAGCGAAGACAGTAAATCAAACATCTGCAAGCACCCAATGCAATATTTTTCCTTTATATTTCCATGCAAAACCCTGGAAGATATCATCTCTACATCTCCTAAAGTCACACATGGAATCATAAACAGCTGAGGCAGAAGCTACTCCATTCATTAACACTGATGCCATGTTACAGATCACACACACATCGGGGAGGTCTATCTGTATTTCTCAAACCACCACAGTCAGAGCATCAATTTAGTTCTGTCCATGCCTTTGTAATGTAAAAGTTACTTGTTAAAAACTTACTTTAAAATAGATTCCAATGTGGGGTTTTTTTAATGCCTAATTCTGATGTGTTGAATTCAAAATGTAGATTTGGAAATTATTAATATTTTTAATACCTTGCCATCACCCTTCCATTTTCCAGCTAAGGTCAGAGAAGCATTTGCTGATAAGCTTCCTCTGATTCACCTTTCAGGCATTATGTTTTGGGAAAGAATCATGTTACATTGGTAACATTTATTAAAGTGACATTAAAGGCAGATACATTTAGAACATAGGGGGAAAAAAATGACAAGTAATCCCGTATTTTAGTAAAGTCCTTGTGAATAAAGTAGTGAGTGAAACCTTTTTTCTCCTTTCATTATTATGGTAATGTTCATCAACCTCTAGTCTGGGTTGTGCTACTTTTTTCTTTTTGCACTACTCCATCCTCTGTGGCAGCTCTAAACCAATCCACCTTTAAGGCTTCTCTTGTCGTTCTATCCACAAAGTCCCTTCTAAAAATTCAGATTATTTTCCCAGTCATGATGAGGTTTTCTGTATGCATAAACTACTTTTCACTTTTTTTTCTTCAACTAGCCCAAAAAGAGAAAAAAGGAAACTACAAATAAGCTTACATAATAGATAGAAGTCTGACCATCAGTGAAATGAGTGAGCCTTACATTTATCAAACCTGGTAATTGCTCAAATGTCAACATTAGATGGAATTTTCAAAGGTGCTTAAGCAATTAAGCAGTCTCATGATTCCAAAATACCCCACTGAAAATCCAAGGCACTGTCAACTGCTTTACTGCTGATCACTTTAACAAAAAAAATCCAACCAAGGTACCTATTTGGCAATTCCAAATTTCTTCTCACTAAGCCAAGCCTATCCTAAACTGTACCTTACCTTTCTTTTGTCTTAGATACTGATATAGTTACTGTTATTTATGTATTTACGCTGGCGATACTGTTGTGAGGTAGGGAAGTCCTGTCACTTCCATTTTACGTGTCATGTCAATCCAGGCAGAGCAGGACTGTATGCTAGCCCTCAGTAATGTAACAATACAATCACAGTTTGTGAATTAAAAATATCTGTGACTTGCCCAGAACTTACAAGTGCGAGTTCAGCATATGTTCTTTTTAATAGTAAAATATACACATTGCATTATTCACATTGAGAAAGGATGCTACATTTTTTAATCTAAATTAATAAATTATAAAATTTATGGCCTGACCCATCACAACATGCAGACTCCAGGAAGTTTGCTTCAGAGCTGCTGCATGTTGAACATTACGTGGTGCCTCACAAATACCCATTCAGAAAACCACTTACAGATGAGAAAGATCCCCCCTAGAAACAAGGTAACCAAGGGGTACATACCAAACACTACCTTCCTTACACCAAAAGAACACCAAGTTTTTGTAGCATGATAAATGTAAGATGTCCACGAGTACAACACAGTATAACTGTTAGAGGAATACTATATTACACGGCATATATACACCAGTAAGAAAGTCCTCTCCAAACAAACAATTCCTGCTACCTTAATCAAAAAGGTAATTTTTTGTCATACTAAAAACGTCCAGCTTTCAAGACATACTTATTCTAAAGAGGAAGAGCTCCTTTTTTCCTTACCTTCAATTATTTTTGCCACAAACAGTTAAAGCATACACATCTTGTCTGGAAACGAGTACCAAAGCAATCCTGTACAAACCTCTAATTTATTAATACAGCAGGCGAAACTGAAAAGCATTTAGCAAGTGACTCTCCTTACCTTTAGCACAGCAATGAATGGTACAAAATTAGCTCTCTGAAGACCGTTTTTATAGAGATCTGAAAGAAAGGAAATCAGTACCATTTTGCTACTTAGTCTTAATAACAATGTCAGCTTGTCTTTTAGTCTGGCAAATGAAACTCAGTGTTACTAGAGAGAGGAGGAACAAAAGGGAGAAAAGGAGAGCTGAAGTTGATTTTTCTTCTCTTGCTCTATGAAAATTCAGTACATTCTTAAGGAAGAAAGGAACATCCTGAGAAAAAGGCAGGGAGTGAAAGATTACTTACATCTCTAACAATATTTACATCTCTAACAACATATAACTGATTTTAGCAGAAGAAATAAGACCAGCATCTGGTTTAAAGTGAGGATATAAAAAAGGATTTATAATGCTGGATATACATTGGTATGATTATAAGGCCAAAACTATGCAACTGCTAAGTCCCAAGTATTTGGCAGAGAAGAAAAGCACAATATAAACTAAAAATACGCTCTCTGAGTTTACAAAGTTAGTATCATTCTTATTCAGTGTACTGTGGTACACTTTATCTTCTAGTAATTCCACCAGGTACACTCCTTTTTCCACAACAAAAAAAAAAAAAAGTCATCCCCAAGGCAAAAAAAAGAAAGAAAATTAAATAAACTAATATGTAAAATTATGCTAAAAATACAACTGAATTTAAAAAAATTAGAATGTTATGTAAAAAAATACAAATCTGCACTCAAAGAAAAGAATTTCTAAAAACAAACTGCAAAGCAGCATTTTATATCTTACTTATTTCTGTATTTTATACAGCATAGAGTTCTCTTCTCTGGAAACTATCCAACTGCCCACTATGTTCATAACAATGAATTGTTCACTGAAAATGTTACCACTTAAACTGTACAATGGGCTGCTCTTCCTCATTAATATTAGGAAGCCTTATAAAAAGGCAGCATAGCAGCTATGACTGACAGGAGGAATAAATAAAAGAATACAAACACCTGGCAGAAATGCCACCAAAATTCCCTGCAAAGACTATGCCAGGTTATTAATACTACCTATGCTCCCCATAATGCCTGAAGGCTACAACTAGGCTAAAGCTTTTATACTTTGCCAGGACCTCATGGTAGACAGAAGATACATCACGCATGAGAAACCAACAGGACACCTACAAAATGACTGTCACAAAATTGGATACATACGCAGAAACATTTAGGAAAATTATCAGTGAAGGTGATTCTGCACTCTAATTACTAACAAGGTTGTATGAAACCATCTATCATTCTCATTCACAGCTCTGCAAATCACAATAGCTATACACTTGTTAAAACAGCAACCAATTGCTTATTTACTTATAAAAATTAGTGACCATGTAACCACACTGTAAGACAGCTACTTCTGTTAGTTCTTCTAGTTAATAAGGTTATGAGTTTTGTCTTTGTTTTGTGAGGGTGAGAAAAATAAACAGTAATTTTGGTGGAGAAATGAAGCCAGGATTCCTCAAACAGTGCCCCTGAGTATTTCCCCTCATATTCCCCTGGGGTAGAAGTTTAACATGGTTAAGCACATCACTAATGATCAGCAGCTGGGTACATCTCTCATGCAAAAGCCACTTTTCTCCTTTGTATCCAGAAGAAATGAATCTCTCAATTCAGTCTTAAACCCGGAGGCAGCATACTACGCTAACCCAACTCTCCTTCCTGCAGGAGGATTTCACACATGCACCATGAGCACACAGGAGTAGTGAGAAGGGAAGAAGAGACAGGCATTGACTAACGTCTGGACTGCAACACAGGTCAGTTTTGGAGATGCCATTCTTGACATTCTCTGTTGGGTAGCTAGTAGAAGTGTCTTTCAGGTTGACACAGTGACTTAATACGTATTACAAAAATCCATACGACAATCACAGAATCACAGAATCACAGAATG